TTGCAAATGATGTCCCTTCGTATGTTGGGCGTATGTTATATACGCTTAGCATACATGGGCATGCTGAATCGGGACTATGAGCCACGTACGCAGGGCGTACGTAACCAAAAGTTAAAAACCTAATTTTAGGGCATGAGCCCTATTTAAACACACTTATGACCTTTAGACCCTTACTCTTATCAGCCTCCACTACTATTATCGTCCTTATAACCCTATTTTACCATTGAGAGTGATTTTTGAGCTTGGAAATAACTTTGGTGGCCTTTTTGGTGTATTTGTAAGAAGAATAACTTGGTGTTCAAGCTTTGGACGTGGTTGAGCTTCAAGATCCTGAATCTACATTATCTTAGGAAGCTTTTGAAGGTAAAACGCTCATACCTTGTTGATCCTTGTGATAGTTAGAGTTAGGGTTTCTTTATAAGCTCATTTTTGGTCCATGCGTTCTCTTTTGGGAGTTATGCAACTCCAGAAGCTGGAAATGCTAGATCTTAGTCCATTTGGCGTGTTAGAAGCATAAAAATGTTATCTTGGTGGTTAATATGACGCCATGCATGAATCTAGGTCCTTTATGTGAGCTTTGATGAACAAAAATGGATGTTGGACTCCCATAAGACATACTAAGGCATAAAGTTGCCAACTTTATGCCCTAGGACCCCCTTAATGACCGAGATATAGAAGTTAGATTAAGTAGCTGCATGGATTAAGCACCAAATGGAAAAAGGTGTTGAGCAGCTCAGTACGCTGAGCGTACTAAGGTGTACGCAGCGCATACTTCATGGCGATCAAGTACGCCGAGCGTACTGAGATTACGCTGCGCTTTTGCTCACAGTGGGCTTTTGATATTTTGTTGGGCTTTTGGGTCATTGGCCCTTAGTTGGTTTTGGGCCTTGAACTGTTTAGAGTAGGTGGGACTTTCACTTCTGCTAATGGGCCTTAAGTAGTGGAGTTGGGCCTTTGTGGGGCTTGGAGCCCGTTATTTCGTTTGGGCCAAGAATGGTTAGGCCCATTATGGGAAAGGCGATTGGGCCCTTATCATAGGAGTTTGTACTTAGGGTTTAGGCCCATGATTTGGGATTATAAACTAATGCTGATTAGGGCTATTTGTTTGTGATAGTGTGGGACTTTTCTGTTCAGCATCCGAGCGTATTGTATTTCCAGCAGACTGAAGTGAGATCTCTCGCTATATAAATGGGTCGAAGGCACCAAGGCCGACCCATTATTTGTATTATAGGATACAGATTACTTGTGTGATATGTGTATTAAAGACCAAGGTTTGGCCCCTGACACCTATATGAAAGACCAGGATTTGGCCCCTAGCAGTTGCATGAGAGACCAGGATCTGGCCCCTGGCAGTTGCATGAAAGATCAGGATTTCGCCCCTGGCAATTTTATGGAAGACCGTGATTTGGCCCTTGGCAATAATTATATGTAAGACTTTGATTTGGTGCATAGCATTAATTTTTATGTTGGTATGTGGTTCTTTGGGGAAAACTTACTAAGCGTTTGCTTATAAATTGTGTTTATGGTTTCAGGTACTTCCAGTACTAATGGGAAGCGCTCGGCGTGATGGCACAACATTCTCTCCAGTTATTTTCGCATTTTGATAGTGTACTCTGATGATGTGATATTTATACATTGTGATGGTTTTGGAACAATTTTTATACTTGTAGTACTTGTTTTAAAAATGAAAAATTTTATCCTGTTTTGGGCTGTTACATAATCCATTAAGACCTACCGTCCAAAACATAGATCCTGACCCCTAATAGCATCTTAATCCATAAAGGTGCAAACTTTACTTTTGCATGTAAGGATGGGGCTCAAATCACGAATCAAGTCCATAAGCACACTTGGATGGTTACTAACAATTGCATGGTTGAGGCTTAACCATCAAGATCCGATTTTTATGACTCAAAACACTTCCAAGAGTTCAAAAGGACAGCTCATACGGTCTGAAGTTGCTCAAACTCCAAGAATCCAAACTATAGGACAAAATGATACCATTTTATACCCTAAACCTAGATCTAAGCTTGTAATGATCAAGGTTTAAACTTTATACCTTCAATGGGTTAGAAATGGTGCCAAACTTCTGGATCTACAAGCTCTTCCTAAGTCCTTGCTTCTTCCCAAGCTTCTTTCTCCTTCAAAATCACCAAAGAACACCACAATCACTCAAGAAAGATCAAAAATGCACTCAAGGTAGCTTAGGGTTCAAGATTTGTACTACAAGGGCAATGGAGGCTGAAAAGGTAAGAGACTTGGGGGACTTATGGTCCTTAAATAGGGTGCAAACCCTAAAAATTAGGGTTTTCCCCTGGATTGGTTACGCCCAACGTACGCTGAGGATCCCCCGATGGCGTGCATGCAGCAAGTACGTCATGTGTACATAATGTACGCCCAGTGTACTCACAATCCATCCACCACCTTAACTTGAATTGAAAATAGACTAAGTCAGAAACTTCATACCTGGCGACTCGGGTGCTACTACGGGCCATATCAAGGCTTTCCTCGTCAGAAGCATCTACAAACTCAATACTTTTGGGAATGGAGTTCATTGTGAAGGGTCGTTGAAGTTGAGGTAATGAAGTAGCAAAGGTAACGATTGAAGGTAGAGAAGCCTCTTTACCAGAAGAAGGAATAACTGAAACATAGATGGAAGAAATAATATTTTCTAAGAAAGATCATACATCAAAGAAAAAGTGCAGAGTAAAGTAGAAAAGAAATATAAAATAGATATGAGTTTGTTCTGAACCTTTATGAGATGTGCCAAGAGACGGTTCGATTTGAGAGTCATTCCCGAAAAAAGTATTAGCATTAAGAATTTCCAAAAGATCGGCACTCGAACTACCTGGAACACCTGAATCAGAAAGCAGAGGTTCTGTCGTCACAGTCGTAGACTCGACATTTGAAACTTGAAAGAAATCAAAACTTGGCTCCAAAGAGTTTTTGTTGGTGTAACATCCTATTTCGAGAAGTTTCTTATTTCGAGATTGTGGACAATAAATAAATCAAGTAAACATCTTAGGATTTGAGGGAATTGGGTTTAGACCCTATTGGATGATGACAATGTTATATAAGTGATTAAGGCCTTGGTTTGTGTCTTGGAGTCAAAGGGGTAAGTTGGGAAAAGTGATGTTATAGACTTATTTCATGAATTATGGTTTTTATTTCGACATGTGCTAAGCCAAAATTAACTAGATAGAAGTATGGGGCTCGTCAACACCTTTCTGTGGATATAAAGATCGCCGAAAACGGAGTTGAACCAAAGAAGTTATGACTATTTGAAGTTCAAGTGAAATTGGGTGAGGACCTGGTCCCACGAGGTGAGAAGTAATTCTCACGACGTGAGAGTGCTCACGAAGTGAGAATATATTCTCACGACATGAGAACTGTGCAGCCCAAATCCAACAAAATTTTTAGGGTTTTCAAGGTATTTAAAGGTAAGGATTCATGTTTTAGGGTATTTTCTTAGCCTCCATCATATCTACAACCTCTTGGGAGAAACCCTAGCCTCCATTTTCAATATTTGAGCCTCCTTTTTCCTCTCTCATCTATTTTTGGAGATTTTGGAGCAATGTTTTCATACAAGATTGATCCTTGAAGCTTCGCAATTCAAGATCTCAACTTTCATCTACCTTCTAGACCTTTGTAAGTTATAAAGTTCCAAGCTTTATGGCATATTCATCTTGGATCTAAGTATATTTGGTGTTTTGGTCAATTTTAATGAGTTTTGAGTGAGAGTTGAGAATAAATTTTGCAACTTTATTACTCCCCTAGGTCCCAAGAACCTTGTATGTTTAGAATCTAGAGTCCAACACCTTTTGATCAGTTTAGAATGTTTTCTAGGACCTCATGGACTAGGAAAGTTTTGATATTTTGCCTTCCCTTTCAGCCATGCAAGTTATCTTGGTCATTTAGGTTATTTTGGTGTATTAAATTTTAGATCTAGAAATCTTGAGACAATATTTTGGATAAAGTTGGAAATTTTATCCATCTAAACATCATGTTGATTTAGATCTGAAGTTTGGAGTCTTGGACTTAATGGATTTAGCTGAGAAACATGCATTCTTGGTCCCTTTGAGATTTAAAGACTAGATATTGGTTGTTTGGACCATCCTAATGGATAAAGTAGGAAACTTTATCCATTATGAGGCTATTTAGGATCTAAGGTTATGGGCCTTGTTCTGAAGAGATTAAGCACTTAATGAAGATTTTAGCCTTCTAAATAGAAGTCATGACGTGACATAGGATGTTTTATGATGTGATGGTGCTCAGAATTGCGATTGTTTTGTCATTTCATTCTCACGATGTAACCAAGGGATGGTCACGACGTGACGTTGACTTTGACCAGTTTGACTTCTGGTCAAACTTGGGTAGAATTAAGTATTTGACTAAGGGTTGGTCTCAGTTTGGTTTTAGGAAGTTTGGATTGGCTATTCAGATGCTGAGGTAGCTGTTGGGCTTTTTTCGAGTGGTTCAAGTGTGTTTTCCTCACTGTACTTGTGGGTTGAAGGCACCAATGTCGGCCCAGTAGATTGTGTATTCTGGTTTGGAATATTTTTATGCTATAGTGATCTGTTAAAATATACATGATTATTTGGTTGTTGTTATGTGTTTTATATGTTATATATATGTCGACATAGTGTGGTTGGGTTGAGACTGTACTGCATTGTGCTGCCAGTCAACAAACCCGAGCAATCTAACCGAAAGGTTGTGGGCCAGGGCATTCCAACCTGAAGGTTGTGGGCCAGGGGTAATCCAACCATAAGGTTCTGGACCCAATATGTATTAGGCAATCCAACCGAAAGGTTTTGGGCGAAGGCATTCCAACCGGAAGGTTATGGACCAGGGGTAATCCAACAGGAGGTTGTGGACCTAGTATGTGTTTTGTATCTATTCTGTTATGTGGTATTTGGGGGAACTCACTAAGCTTCATGCTTACTGTTTGATTTTATGGTTTCAGGTACATTAGATGACCGGGCTGGTTTTGAAAAGTGAAAATTTTACCTTGATTTTTGGGATGTTACAGTTGGAAGATAGCAGCAGCAAACAAAGAGGCAGGAGTTTGATCTTTTGACGACAGGGGAAGCCCCTAAAGTAGGATGAAGGGAAATCTCAGAGTTTGGAGTTTCATCATCGGAGGAAGCGAGTTTTTCTTCAGCACACTTTAGTTCAGGATCAGTGATAACAAGACACTCATGAAGAGTAGTTGTTGCAGGTGTTTCCAAAAGAAGGCTCTGGATTCAAGGATTCAGACGAAGTTTGACTACTTGAGAGTGATAGACCATGACTTTTCGCTACACCACTATGAGTGGTCCTTTTTCGTTTAGGGGAAAATAGATCGATCAACTTGTCAGGACGATTCATTACTCCTTCCATGAAAACAATTTACTCTACTCCGACTTTCTTCTTGGCATCACGGGCCCAGTGGTATCTAGACCATAGGGATTGGAAGTAATCATTAAATCAAGAGTGTGCATATAGAGAACGTCTAAATCTGAATTCATTAAAGTAAGTTATGATTTTTCTAATATTCAGCATAGCAGTATACAACTCAGAAATCGAATTTTAAATTGGTCGGCTTTTTAGCGAAAACAATCTAAATGAGAGTTGAAGATCTCGTTAATAGGAGTCCAACGATATAAGGTCTGTCAAAAACAGACACCGGATGAGAAAGTTATGCAGTTTATACGGGCTTTAACAGTCTAAGCATGTGTGAAATAAATAAAGTCAAAATTAGCCAACAGAGTCTAAACGAAAGTTGTAGATCTTGTCGAGGGCTTTCTGGGGATATAATGAACACCGAAAACAGAGTTTATATGAAGAAGTTATGAAATTTTGAAAATCTAAAGTTCGGTATAAGCATGTTCAACGTGCTCAAGCTTCTAGAAGCTGCCACGCAACCCCACCCAATTTGTGCCACGTGTAAGCATGCCTGAGGAGCCACATCACCATTGTTCATAGCGCGCCTCTATGGTGTGCGTTATGCATCCCAATAATTCCTCCTATAAATACCAATCAGTCCCTCCTGCTATTTCCCCACCCCTACAGCCGATTCTCGAGTTCTACCCTATTTTAGTCTTGTTTTCCCTCGTTTCTGGCCTGCGACGAAGCCCTGCGACACCCTTGAGTACTCAACTGAGTAGTAGTCTTCGAGTAGGAGATCCTGAGTTAGTATTATGCCCGCTTAGATCTCGGTTGTCATCAATAGTACTCTGTAAGTGAGCTACACTTACTCTGCCTCCGTATAAATTATGATTATAATTATAAGTTGTTACTAGGAACTTATAATTAACATTTATCAATGATCCCATGTCATAATATTGATTTATCTACTTACGGGAGAGGTTCCTAGAATGGTCACTTCGGTTTGGTTGTTAGATTTCATAAAAGGCTATATGTCGAAATGGTCCTGCCTCCCGACTGTCCCACCTAGCTGATCCTTACATGATAGATCTTGAAGTAGACTTTAGGATTATTGAGGAATCTAAACCCGTAGGATAATAGTTCGATGAAGTATTAAATTAGACTAAGACTTAGAGTTATATACATCTATATCTTTTGGAAAAGGTGTAAGAAGCTCTGCCCGATTCACCAATCACCAGACACCTTGTCAGGCGAGTGCGTAGTTATTATCGAGAACATAATCCTAATTTAAAAAGTATTCATATTATTAAGTAATATTAAATATTTACTTGTATTATCTGTGCTATGTGTTATTTGTATAAATAGGATAACTGGATTAGAAACTGTATTGGGAATTAATTGCCTTTAGTTATAAGTATTGCCTTAAGTTTAAGATTAAGATTTATATCGACTAGGTCTCATAGTTGGGGTAGAATGTGAGATCAGAACGGAGTGAAGTCCTCCTCTTTCTTGGATGACCAGAAATTATGGGTCCGGATCAGACAAATGGCAAGTATGTATGGGTCATCAACCAGAGTAGATGACAACACTTGCCTATTCTAGGTAGTCTAGTGAATTATGTTGCTAGCATGGACTTATAACCCATGGACGTAGATAAAATAGGATACTATATTTATCAAATCTCTGAACATCGGTTGCCTTTATAAGACTTACACTGGCCAAGGAATCCCCTGGCAGTCTAGTCAAACAGTTGCTCAGATGAGTCATTGGGTTGGGTGATTCCTCCAGATAATTGTTGCTTTAGGATCTATGAAGATCGGTTGGGTTGGGTAGTTGGTCTTAGGTCAAATTATATATATATATATATATATATATATATATATATATATATATATATATATATATATATATATATATATATATATATATATATATATATATAATTTGACATCATTATTTGCAGGAATGAAATTATTTATTATCATTAATATATTATGGCCTTGAAAACCCTATTCATCCCACTAGGTTTTCCTAAAAACAACCCACTCATTTTGTGCATCACAGGTAATGGATGTAATATTGTCGAGGTCTAGTTAGGATGCTGAGTGAAATAAAGAGATGTCCCTGTAATAAGTAGTTTCTGGACCTTTCAGTATTTATGTTACAATGTATGTTTAGATATGAAGGATGGCATCCTAAAAGTTTTTAAATAAATGAAATAACTTTTGTTATCTCACAAATGTTTTGTTTAACTAGGAATTCCCGCATCTTAATTTTATAAAGCATAAAGAAAATGTTTTAATTAGTTCTGAAAAACGGGGGATGTCACATAACCGCTCTAGCCGAGTAATTTCACGAACCTCTAGGGTTTCCATGAGTTTCTTCCCCAATTTGTTCCAGTAAGAGCTTATCCTCGCCATACCTAGCATTATTTCTTTAGGATCGACCCACTTGACGAAATTATCCGATAAACGATCTGCAATACTTTGTTCTTCAAGAGATAAATCAGGAGAATAATCGATAGCCCTGTCAGCAATAGCACCATTAAACATGCGCCCAACAAAAGCAGAAGATCAGATGAAGAAGAACTTTTCCTTCCAATACTTTATTAAAGTAGGAAGGCTGTCGCAAATCTCCACCAGGCCATGGAAAAGGGAGAAAGATACCTAATCACCATTGGGCATGGTAATGTAGAAATTGCGGAATAAGGTGATAGAAGGCGTAACGTATAGAGCAGAACATAGCATCACGAAGCAGACGATTTTTCGAAAACCATTGGGAAGTTTGAGTGATGTGCAGATGATAGTAATCCAAGACTGTCATTAAAGAAGTCAAATGCTGGCAATCATAAACCCGATCTAAATAAAATCCGGTATACTATAATAAAACCTTATGGAGCGTCAATAATGACATCTACATGATCGGGCAAACACGGATTGAATTCACGATCAATATGATACTTCTTCATGATATCAGAAAGATTCTTAGGGGTAAGTTTGGATTTCATGGTATGAATACTCAAAATTTATTTACTATCCATGGGGGAGTAAAATGAAAAAGTGAAAACAAAAAGATGAGAGCGAAGGGTAATTTGAAAATGGTCACATGAGGTGAAGAAAAGTAACCAAGCAAGAATGCTATTTATAGGGAATCAAGGAAAGCTACATGTATGAAACAGACAAAGTGACAGTGATACACTGTAGACCCTTTAAATGGAAAAGAACTGAGGAGACGGTTATAGGCAATGAAGAATGCTAGAGGCCGCCGAACCGTCACTTGAAAATTTAATTCAAGTGTCTATCCTTATCCGGCTATCAGTTACTTAGCAAGACTTTTAAATTTGAATTGTTACTTGTTGAAGAAAAGAAACAATCCAAACTAAGGGGACTTAATAGGGTATAGTCTAGCCTAACGCTACACATATACCCTCACTCTACCGAACTAGATATCTACCAAACTAGATATGTACCGAATCACATGCATACCGAACTATACACGAGTACCATACCATAGAAAATAACAACTAAGATACGAGATAATGTCACAACAGTATCATGGTACATTAGGACTCAAAGAGAACAACATTTATTATGATATTTGACCGATGAATCCTCTGATCAACAAGAAACAACTGTTAAATGGCTAGTAAGTACATAAAAGTGTACCTTCGGAAATACGACCATTAATGTGATAAGATGGAAAACCTGCTTCGTAAGTGAAGAGGTCGTAACCTTATAACATCGACTATAAATAAGTGACAAGGATTAATAGACAAGGTACGTAACCATACTCACATCACATTAAGTCTCATTTTGACTCACAATATACATTCTTGAGGTCATTTATGAATTTATCATCAGAGCGTTGGTCCAGGATCCCTTCCCGGTCAATTAGCTTACGAGTTGTTTGTTGTCTCCAGGTTGAATAAACCGTGAAGGAATTGTAAACTCTCACGACCAATGTAAGGTGACCCTGGGGGCACAACAAATGATTAATTATGAACCAAGACTCCTTGTGAAATAAGTTATTACATTAATTGTTAATTAGGGTTTTATTATGTGTATGATTAGCATAAGGAGTCTTGACATCACCGGTTTTTAGATTTCGCGAGTTGAGATGTAGTCTTCTACGAATCAAGTGAGTTTTTTTCAATATGCCATGTATGACATTGTATATCATTTGTATGTTAGAACAATGGTATTGAAAGAGTGTATATATATATATATATATATATATATATATATATATATATATATATATATATATATATATATGTATGTGTGTGTGTGTGTTAGTTGACTAGGATAACTCCTTGTTATGTAGGTGCAGTATGGGACACTTGGTGTCGTGGTATGCTAGACTGGTAAGGTCTTGCATGTTGATTGTATAACACTATTAGGTGTCATGTTTGGCTAGGGTAATGATAGTATTGGCTGATCATTGAGTGGATTCCCTAGGGGTTGTATGTAGTTTAAGTCGGATAACCTGAGAACTCTTTGTCTAGGCTCTCTTTCTTGTTCTTTTTTTGGTTGTGGCTTTAGAGTAGGATCGCATGTTTATCTAAATCTCGACTACATATGACTACGTGTTTATGAGGTGGTTTTCAGTATTAACATTATCTCGGTATGGATGTGGTTCCAACGAGAGGTCAATGATTGCAGAGCATATAAAAGTCGGAAGTTGTGGCGGTTGGGAGCCGGTAGTAGTGGCTACTGAGAGTCGGTAGAAGTGGTGGCAGAGAGCTAGTGGCAGAGTGCCAGTAGATGATATGGTATGAATGATATGTATCTATATGCTTGTGGATAGGAGACTTAGCAGATCGGTGCTGGAACTGAAGGCTTTGCATGTATGTTTTGTATGGTGGAATATATGACATATTAGGAACTCTCTAGCCTTTATGCTTATAGTTGTGTATTAAATGTGTTTGCGGGTTATTGGTGTGAAGAGTTTGGAGGGACTATATGTGACATCCCCCATTTTTCAAAACCAATTAAAACTTTTTCTTTACGCTTTAAAATATTGAGTTGTCTTTGTTGCGAAAAATCCCAGTTTAATAAAACATTTTGAGATAAAAAATATTGTTTCATTATATTAAAATACCAAGGATGTCATAATTAATATCCAACATAGATTACAATGCAAATACTTAAAGGTCATAAAAACTATTACAGACTCGTCTCTTATTTTACTTGGCATCCTATTTAATTTCTAGCGGCCTTAGTTCTTCTACCTATGATGCACATAAATTGAGTGGGTCTGGTTTAGGAAAACCTGGTGAGATACATAAGGTTTTCAAGCCCATAATAATTTAATGATATTAAATCATATTAATAATCAGTTTTTTATTTTAAAAGAACGTATATATAAATATTAATATGTTTAGTTATCGTTTATATTATTCACGATCACAATTATAGTTTCTCAGATTTGTCAATAATCCCAAACAAAATATTGACTTATAGCTAATAAAACAACAAACTAGGATCATATCGGAGATATGATCTGATGGGTTTTAGGTACAACAAATAAACTAGAAAAAACAATTCCTAAGTTCACATGCAACCTACTTTGGATCTATGTTTTAACTATTGAACATATAACTTTGAATTGCAAAACAAGAACCCTAGAGGAGAGAGGCTAATTTCGAAATTAACAAACTAGGGTTTAGGGTTTACATACCTTTCAATTGTTATAGCAAACAATTGATAATCCTCTTGATCTTGATCTTGATCTTCTTGGAAGCTTAGCACCACAAATGTAATGCCTCTAATGGAATCACACCCAAGAACTAGCAAGAAGGAAACTTGGAGGAGAGAGGATGGAGAGAGTATGCAATTTCGGCCTTAGGGTTTCTTCCAAAGAAATCAGTCCCAAAAACATGAACCAGGAGGCTCCTTATATAGCTGAGGGATCTAGGGTTTAAGGGAAACCCTAGTTATCCTTTGCTTAGGGCCTAAGCAAACCCAAGGGCCTTATCCAAGCCCCTATGGACGAAATTATTAGGGTTTCCCCTAAAGATTTCGTCCACCCTCTTCCAAGGGGGTTCTAGAGCCTTCCACTCAACTATTAGATAATTGCAAACTAGTCCCTGCACCTTATAATTAATTCTTTTAACCCCAAAATCAATTCTGATTAATTTCTGGCTAACAATTAATTAAACATAATGATTTCTTATTAATATATTAATCTTTTAACATATTAATAAATCATTTATATATAATTATTAATCTTATAAATTAATATCTCTCCTTTCATAATTTCCTTGTCCAGTTGCTAGGTTGAGGGCAACCCAAAAGGACTGTGCTGCTATCAATTCAAGTACATACCAATTATAGTTATGGGCTTAGACACCTAATCCAACAGTCTCCCACTTGGATAAGTCTGTAACTATAATTGCTAGTATGCCTTCTAAATTTGACCAGCAAATTGTAGCTTCCAAAAGCTGCTGCCGAACTCTGACCCAGTCAGTTACGTGTCCTAAGATAAGTGATCATATAACCCTTCGTTCTGCTTGATATCCCCAGACAAAAGACATGGAATGTAATCAATCTGTTTGTCCAGAATCTATGTTTCCCGATTCCTGATTTGTGATGATGTAGGACTTCTAATCGAACACATCAATTTAGTCCTGGCTGGGCCCAGCACATAAGTCAACACCAAATCATCGAGGGGCCCACAGATATCGCTTTTCCTGTTAGGGCAAAAGGAACGAATAAACGTTGACTCATATGCTTGTATCTTTTACTCATCAAATTATGCATGACAATACGTTTTATAACACCAAGTTACTGATGCGTTTTCGTATCACCAATGCACAACCGACTTGTAAATTACAACTCATATATCTTCGTTTCAAGATTATAAGATATTATCGTCTCAGTATTACTCGTGATGAATTCCATGAAGTAATACTCTGAGCGAGGGTTTATCCAATACTCAAATCTCAATTTCTGAGTACTCATGAACGTTGCAGCAATTCTATTGCCATGTCTATCCTTAGACAATCTGCAATCCAATTCATGACAGTCTTAATTCACTACTTACTTCCAAGAGTACGAGCGACTGTGGAGTTTGAATAATCTCATTATTCAGGAAGTAAAACATGCAAAAATGAAACACAATAATAAACAATTGACAAAAGGTAGTAGCCAAACTTATAAATAATACTTTATTATTTAATCACCAAAAGTCAATTACATTTACTTTGTTACAAGTTTCAAAAACTAATCTAACTACTAAAACTAATATCATCTTTCAGTCCTATGCTCCGAGCATGCTGAATATGCTTAGCCCTACTCAGACCCTTTGTGAGAGGATCTGCTGGGTTATCTTCAGATGACACCCTCTTTACTATAAGATGGCCTTCTTCTACTCTATGTCTGATGAAATGGTACTTTCTGTCGATATGTCTGGTCTTACCATGATCTCTCGGTTCCTTTGTCAAGGCAACCGCTCCTTCATTATCGCAGAACAGTTCCATAGGCTCCTGGATGGTTGGAACAACTCCGAGATCCCCGATGAAGTTCCTCAACCAAGCTGCTTCTTTCGACGC